CGATTTTATTGCGTGTATTTTCTCTTATAAATCCTTCCTCGGACTTTTGGGGTTGCTCGTCCGAACAAGCTAGAAGAAGAGGTTGAAGACTATTTTCCTACAACCCTTTCGTTTGCGTATACTCCAATGGTGGAATGACGGTAGGGGTGGGGTGGGGGGAGAGGGAAATCTATTTCGAACTACGAGAACTTCTCTTTCTAATTTCGTTTCTTCAAACTGATTTCAACGAACTCAGAATAGTAGTCTCTCTCTCTCTCTCTCTCTCTCTCTCTCTCTCTCTCTCTCTATCTATCTATCTCTTGTTCTTAGAACAACTACATTAGAAAATTAAAATTAAAAAATGATTTCAAACAAATTTTGTAAATTTTCTAATTTAGGATCAGAAAATTGCTTGAATTTGATCAAACAATTAATAAAGTTTTCTTTCTCATTTTTTTATCTATCAAAGTACAACGTTACAATATTGAATTGCGAGGTTTTGATTGGTCAAATTATAGCACAATGCTCTTATACAATTTGTTTATAATTTAACGGTGATTTTTTTTTTAATTTTCAATTTTTGTTATATGTTAAATTCAATTAAATGATAAATTGAATAAGGTAGAATGACTGTTTTCTTTTTTCTTGTGGACAAATTTAAGGATTTGTATGAGTTCGTATTGGACGTAGAATTGTTCTGGGCTTAATTGTGTCTCCCTAACATCTTTTGTACACGTACAACGTTTCTCTTACAGACGAACGAAGGTAGATTGACTTTCAAGAGGAAATTCTATTCTCTTGCTGTACTTCTAACATATACATATACATACATACATACACTCAAGAAGAACAGCAGCAACAAGCCAACGGCAATTTCGAGAGGATTCCGCGTTCGCGACTGGCCGCTTCCGGTTTCGCTTTTCCTCTCCAACCATCTCCAGTTTAAGTGACTCGACCAATCCGCGGTTAGTTTGTGCAAGTTGGAAAATGTGGCCACTAGAGGAAACTACGTTCAAGGAAGACAAAGAGAAAGGGAGACAGAGAAAGAGAAAGAGAAACACAAAATACACATAGACATACACATACACATATACAAAATAGTATTTTCGAGCTAACGAGTAGGACGCTGTGTTGGCTTCTGATGCGCAGCATTAACGAGGATACTCTTCCTTTATTTCTACTATTAACAAACTAAATATAAAATTACATGACCAACTACACAGTATGTACAATTATCTCTGATGTGCATCTATACTTCTCTGATAAATTGAAAAAAAAAAAAAAAAGAGAAAGATAAAATTTTGATAAGATTTGTTTCAATAAATGAAAAGAGCAAATAATTAAAATTTTAGTTCAATCCTTATATACAATTTAATTCAAATTTACAAACGGATCTTTTTTGTATCTACAATCTTAACAATTATTTATAATTAAATCACGTATACAAACAATTAGAATATATAACAAAAGCTCTTCAATTAAAATAATCAATTTTAAATTAAAAGATCAATTAAGATTAACATAAAAAACAATGATTTTTCTTTTTAAAACAAATAAAAAAATTTCATGCAAATTCTATAGCAGTCTTTAAATCGTCCCCATCTCCTAGATCGATTTTACTAGTCAGGGACTGGTCGAGATATCGAATAAGCAAAGTTCCTATGGGTCCTGTCGCGTATCGATCCAAATTCCAATTCAATTTTCCACGCCCCCAACGAACGCGTTTCGAACGGCATGCATTAAACATCGTGCATCGCGCATACCGCGTTACTAATCCACGGACGGTTATAAACGCGCACCGGTAAACGCCTCTACAAGCTACGCGAGCTTAAAATCGAGCATCGCCGAAGACATACTCCTCTTCCTCTTCCTCCAAACCCAAACCCTTCCTTTATCCTCCCCTCCGCTTTTACCCTCTTCATATTCCTATTGCATCTCGGATGCCCTTCTTTCGTCTACGTTGCATCTGACGATCGAATTGTTGTCGCGACCAAACTCGAGTATCATTCCCATTTGGAATAATTTGATAGAACAGTATGACTGAACTGAAACAATGTTCTCTTTCCAATCGCTACATTTAGAATTACTTGAACATTGGTTAAATTACAAGTTTTATTTTGTAAAATGCTTTCAAAAGTAAGACTCAGAATTTTTCAGCCCTCCTTTAATTGTAAATTTAAACGCGATCTCTTTCAAAAATCATGACAATAATTTGCATCTCTCTGCATAATAGGCTCGGAACTTTTCAGCCCTCTTATAGGTAGAAAAACTGTTCTTTTTTGATGTATATAAAATACTTTTATGCATTCCATAATTGTAAATTTTATTTTGTACATTAACTGGCTTTGGCAATGACAATCGAATTCTTGTCACGAACAAACTCGAGTATCATTCCCACTTGGGGAATAATTTGATAGAACAGTATCATTGAACTGAAACAATGTTCTCCATCTAGATGCTAGATTTAAAATCACTTGTATTAGATATTAGTTAAAATTAGGATCATTGGGAAGGAGGAATACAATGCGGGCCCTTTTCTATTTTCTTTTGTTTTGATAATGTGTGATCTCTATTATTAAATATAATGGTTTCGGAAAACTTTCATTAACTTGTCCGATATCTAATTCATGAGGATACCGATGAGATTACCGTATAATCTGCGGTTTCATTGATTGGATTATTTTAATGAAAGATGATTGAACAGTACGTAAAGTAATTTGTTATTTTCGAATTTGGACTTCTTCTTTTTTTTAGATTCATTAATTTGAAAGTAAAATATAGTTTACCGTAATCAAGGAAATGTTCATTTGAAATTAATTGTTGTTTAGAGACGATAAGAAACACTTAAATTTCCTCACTATGTTTGCCATCTAACGGACATTCATAGAGATTTATTTCTAGTTTGTAAAATTACCGATACGAGGCGTTACATTCTTATTCTCTACGTAATTATCGACATTGTCAAGATTGTCACTTATCGACCGAGTAATTGTTTCAAGTTTACCCGGGAAATTTGAATGAGTTGTTGTTGCCTTTTTAAGAGTCACGGCTAAAATTTGATTATTGATTGAACGCGCATGTCTCTCGTTAATAGGATAGACGATCGTGAAAGGTAAAAGTTCATAGGTCAATTATTACTTTAACGATCATTATCGAGAGATAATAAATTTAAACAAATTACCTAGGCGTTCTTTTCAACTCGAAAGTATCTTTTACAAAAGCGTTTCTCCTTATGGAAATTCTTGTCAGTCTTTTTTTAATACTTGAATTCTCTCTTTTTCTCTCTCTCTCTTTTTCTCTCTCTCTCTTTTTCTCTTTCTCTTCCTTTCGAATTGGATACACGAGACGATTATCTGTAAGATGTTACCTACAATGTATAAGACTCCTTCATTATCCTCGTCGAGTCCGCTGCCGGGTTCGTCACGAAGGAGCATTCTCGCGAGCTCGCGTGTACGCCGTCAAGTTTTTGTTCGGCGTTACACGAGAAACAGATTTGCTAAATAATCGGACGATGGAATAAGTGTTTGCATGCATGCACGCATACGTACTATGATAGTTGCGTCAGTGTTTGAGTCATTATCATCTATACGCCATGTTTCCTATCTGTTCCTGATTTTTAGATTTTTAGTTCAGGAAGAAAAGTCTTACTCGAAAGAATATTTCATTGACCTTACGACTTGAAAAAGTCAGCTATGTTTGCGTGCGAAATGGAAAACAGTAGCTAAACTCGTAAACGTCACGTTACGTGACCCAAACGATTGCAACTAACTCATGTTCGTAATATATTGAAAGTCTTTTCTTCGACGTTTTGGCCGATCTGCAATAAACTTAAAAAGAAAAAACCAAAACTTTCAAGGTTATTAACTATGAGATAAATTATTCGACGAAACTAAAATTATCTTTGCGTGATTAGTCGGGTTAACACGATACATCGGCTGATGTATACGTTGTTTTTGGAACTATCGCTTTGCGCAATTTTTTTTTTATCTTTTCTTGTTCGATAATGATAATTTTGCTAGTTATTAATATTTAATTAATGTGACTTTATAAAGTTAAGAAATCATCACAGTCGTTGTATTCATTTTCAAAATAAAATTCTTTGTTCTCCTATAATAATTTTTAATATTATAGTTGCAGATAATTTATTACATACAAAGAAATATTTTCATATTACAGTAAATTAAAATATTCCTGATTATATGCTCATTCAAGAGTATTTGTTTTTATGAACTCTAACTTAGGGGCTCCTTGGGGTGAAGAAAATAGATATAATTATATAATAAATTTATTTCTTTAATGATTTAATTGATTTACTTTCAAGTAACATGAAAAATAAATGTGGAAAAAACCTTTAAGTTTTAATATTCTGCTTGTATGCATATATACATAAATATATTATTACCAATAATCTTTACGCACAAGAAAATGATTTTACTCGTTTTATAAGTTTCAAGTTAGACTTCATTATTTAACTAATTCATTCAGTTGTATTTTTATTTTACTTCAAAATAATATATAAAGTGTAGACTATAAGTCTTATATTTAGTTTCTTTTTTCTTTGTAAACAATAAGAAAAAAAGCGTTAATCTGAGTCTATTTTGAATCTTAGTCTGTTCGAATCTGTATCAGCTGTAATTGGAATCTTTACCAGTTATAATTCTTCTGTACTCCGTACATTTTCATTATATATTCTGTATCTGCATCTATCTATTTCCGTCCGTTTCGCGTTTTTCTTATTTTTCTCTCTGCAAACCCCACCAAAAAATTCAACAAAATCTTATTTATTAAATATACACACTTTCAGATTTTATATAAATTTATAATAATCTTAAGTTTACTTATATATATATATATATATATATATAATTTTTTTCAATATATTTGTAAATTTAAGTCTACTTAAGTAATACTTTAGTAGTAGTTTACTTAGTAAATACTTAAAGTTTTCCTTGAGTAAAATAAATATGAATTGCATTAACATTATATTATTCTTTAGAGACATGAAAGAAACAAAACATGAAGATAAAATTAATCATTTTGAAGTGAGATACGCACAACAGATTACTTTAACTCTCAGTTATTAACTAGTATTTCATTCGAAAACATTCTAAAGCTTATTAAAACGAGACATAATATTTGTAACAGAATCTGAATACGCTAAGTGTAAAACGAATCAAATTAAAAAATTTTATTCGCCGATTAAGGTAAGTGTTATCAATGTAATTGCAAAAAAATTTGATAAACTAATAATTGCATTTAACCCTTTCCTTCTGACACTGCTAACAGTGTTTATATTTTCTTTGTCATGGTTTCACTGTACAGTGTATAGTTTACAAAATTAATGTTTATATCAATAGTCAATTTGTCCAGAAATTTTTAATTCTAATTACGTAATATTTTTGATGAATATAACTTTACAATCGATTGTTGATCAAGTTATAAAATTTTGATAACCATTATTGAAAATACAAACTATGTAAGTCATCCAATATGCCGATGACAAGTATAGACGGCGATAGGAATGAAAGGGTTAAAGATCAATATAATTAATTTTTCACTTTATTATTTGATTTAAAAATGTACTTTATCTCTTTACCAGATTAACATTTTCATCGTGACTATGGCACTTTTTACCGACCTTTGGTTTCTTGACGTCATTATTATTTTTTTACTATTAATGATAACAATTTATCTCTACGTAACGAGAAAATTTAATTATTGGAGAAATCGCAATGTAATGGAAATACCACCGATTCCATTTTTAGGAAACTTTGCCGATTGTTTTTTTTTACGGAAATGTCCTGGTGAATTTATTATGCATCTGTATAACCAATCAGGTGGATTACCATTCATGGGATTTTATGTGTTCGATAAACCTTTCTTTTTGGTCCGTGATCCAGAACTTGTTAAACACGTTCTCGTAAAGGATTTCGATTATTTTTCTGATAAATACTCAAGGACAGATGTCAATGATCGTCTCGGTTGGACTAATCTATTTATGATTAAAAATCCAGCATGGAAGATTTTAAGATCTAAGTTAACGCCTATATTTAGCAGCGGGAAATTGAGAAATATGTTTAAATTAATGCTGATCGTAGGAGATGATCTCGATACTTATTTGGAATCCTTGAATTTGGAAGGTAAGGAACTTGAAATAAAAAAAAAAAATAATAATTGACATGTATTTTATTTCGTTCGATTTTTTTTAAAGGAAAAGGAAAAACGTTGGATATAAAAGATCTGTGCGCCAAATTCACGACAGATTTAATCGGCATCACTGCTTACGGTTTGAAAGTGAACTCATTAAACGACCCTAACGCTGAATTTCGAAGATGCGGAAAAAAGATTTTCAATTTCACCTGGTACCGTGGTTTCGAAATTCTCACCATGTTTTTTATGCCATCGTTGATCAAATTAGTTAGGGCTAATTTTTTCGGTAAAGATAGCGGTGATTTTCTTCGAAAAACTTTTTGGGAGAATGTTAATCACAGATTGCAATCCGGAACAAAGAATAACGATTTGATCGATCTTCTTCTTGAATTGAAACAAAATCACGAGGGTCAAGAATTCGACGGATTTAGTAAGTTTAAATTTAAATAAATAATTGGAAATTAATCATTTATAAATGATACTTTAATCTACGGTTATGTATATATATATATATATATAGAATTTGAGGGAGACGATTTGGTAGCTCAAGCTGCAGTTTTTTTCACCGGTGGTTTTGAAACATCGTCCACCACCTTAGCGTTATCTTTGTTCGAATTAGCTCTAAATCCAGAAATCCAGAATAAACTTAGAAAAGAAATTATGGACGCTCTAGACAAAAATGATAATAAAGTTACTTACGAAATGGTAAATAATTATATAATATATTTTAAGACTTCATTTATAATTATTTATATAATTTGAATATAATTGAAAATAATTAGATTACGAATTTATCTTATCTCCATATGGTTGTATCGGAGACTTTACGAAAATATCCAGTATTTTCATTCATCGAACGAATAGCCGGCAAAGATTACAAAGTGCCAGGTCATGATTTAATTTTGGAAAAAGGAACACCAGTTTATGTTTCTTCTATGGGATTACACTATGAATCTCAATATTTTCCTGAACCGAATAAGTATGATCCAGAAAGGTTCAATGATGAGAATAAGAAAAATTTGACACCTTACACTTATCTGCCATTTGGTGAAGGTCCTCATATGTGTATAGGTATGTGCATCTTTAATTGGACAATTTTCATTTGTTTTAAATATTTTTTTTTATTTTTAGGATTACGATTAGGATTGCTTGAATCGAAATATGGTCTCATTCAGATTTTAAGGAAATACCAAGCTACACCATGCGAGAAAACTGTTTTTCCTATGCGTTTAGATCCCAGAGGATTGACATTAACTGCATTGGATGGAATTTATTTAAACCTAGTTAAACTTCCAACGTCCAATTAACAATGAATTTTTTTCAATTCTAATAACCACTTTTATTCTCATATTATAAACATATACTTATTCTTAAACGAATAAAACTGATAAGATATTTATCAGGAAATAATTATAAGAAAAAGTATTTATCCTTTCGTATAATTAACAGTCTGTATTTTTAACGTTTTCCCTCGTGTTAATTAAATTTTTTTCTGAGAAACTGAATGTAAATTAATTCAAATTTTAATATAACTCTTTATATTATACTTCTTTCTCATAAAGAATGTATCAATTATATTTCGCAAAAAGGCAATAAATACTAGCGGTTATCTGTTTTTTTTCTGAATATTTTAAATGTGTCGTATACAACGATAAATTTAACGTATGTAAAGCGATCAAATAAGATAAAAACACAAATTGTACAAACGCAAATTTCAAAAAAAAATCACAAGATTATCATGTTTACAATTGAAGTAAAAAAAACTATGTAGATAATGTTCCGTCCTTTTGCTAGAACATCCAAAGATATCGGTTAATACAGTGGTTCCCAAAATGGGCGATGAAGCGGACCAGGGGGGCGATGACGGCCACAAGTGAATTTTGGAGTACTCTACGTTACACAACAATTACATTTACATTTACAATTCTATTCTGAGTGCAATTTTTCAGATCGACCTGATATAGGGATATTTGAGTAACAGATTCGCCCGAAGATACTGAAATGTCTCATAGGAAAATTTTATTATATTTAGCCAGTTTACAATGGAGATATCTTTCATAAGTTACTCCCACCCTACAACGAATGAAAAACTTCAGTGTTACTATAAATCAGTGGTTACTATTACTAGGAAGTAAGAAAATCAGGACAAATAGTGATACAGGATCCGAGCACATATCTTCAGTTAAGCATAATTGGGGTGTTTTTTAGATCTGGAGTTTTTTTTAGAAGAGTAATCATTATTTTTTTTTTTTGATTTGTAATTTACCTTGAGAATTTTTCTTAAATCTAATAACACGTTGAAATTGCGAACAAAAGAAATTACTAGATACTTCTCGAGAGACAACACGCACACGATTAAACGAGTTGAAACATAATAATAAATTTTGTCTGGTTAGTCACTCGATAAATTCTTACAACCACTTATTGTCTTATATCACTATATAAATATCGAGAATATTTATAGTACCTAATTAAACAAAAGTTAAATAATAAATTAATTTATTTGAGAATAAGTTAAAAGATTTTAATGATTTACTTGAGGATCAGTGGTAAAAGTATAAAGATTTAATTGAAAATAAATTAAAAATTGTCTTGTTTTGTGTTAGAGCCGAGGAATGAGAATATTAAGAAACATTATACGATGACATGAAAGAAGTAAATTACAACGAAAACATTTATTGAACAGGAAGAATGTGGAAAGGGAAATTGCGAGGAGAGGGATATTACGCAAATATAAATATAAGTTCAACGCGGAAGACAGTGATCACAACATGTGTGTCCGAAGACAGTGATCAACAGTTATTATTATAGCGCTGAGAAACTAATCGTCTTTTACTCAGAAAAAAAATTACTGTGTACAAAAAAAAAGATAAAAAAAAAATATATATATATATATAAATATTGTAGTTTCTGAAAATATTTGTTAATAATAATTATAAAATTATTGAAAATCGTATTTTGTTGAAAAAGTTGAAAAAGAGGATTTTCGTTTGTTAATTATAAAATTTCAAGGATCCAAAGAAAATAGAAAAACTAAAAAAACAAAATGGCATTATTGACACCATACTGGGGCCTCGATGGAATCATAATTTTTCTATCATTTTGGGTAGCAGCATATTTTTACATGACAAGAAAATTTAAATATTGGAAAAATCGTGGAATTACGGAAATCCCACCGGTTCCTTTTGTCGGTAACTTTTGGGATTCGATTTTCATGAAAAAATCATCTGGTGAATTTGTAAAGGAATTGTACGATCAATCGAAAGGATTACCTTACGTGGGTTTCTTCATTTTTGACAAGCCATCAATTTTAATTCGTGATCCTGAATTGGTGAAACTCGTTCTGGTCAAAGATTTCAATTATTTCTCAGACCGATATGCATCACCTGACGTCAGCGATCGTTTGGGTTACGCTAATTTATTTATGATGAAAAATCCTGGTTGGAAGGTTCTTCGGTCTAAACTAACGCCGATCTTTACGTCCGGTAAATTGAAGAAAATGTTCGAGTTGATGCTTGAAATCGGCACAGATCTCGACAAACATCTCGCATCATTGGACTTAGGAGGTAAGAATAAATATGATTATAAATATTTTAATAATTTTTTTTACGAATTGTTGATAATCTAATAAATCATTTATCATTCCCCAAGATAATGGTAAAAATTTAGAAATGAAAGAAATCTGTGCAAAATTTACGACCGATTTGATCGGTACGACCGCTTTCGGTATTCGTGCCAGTTCTCTGAGCAATCCTGATGCCGATTTTCGCAAATACGGTAAAAAGATCTTCGATTACGACTTCAAACGTGGCTTCGAATTTTTGTCGATATTTTTTATCCCTGGAATCGTCAAATCGACGGGAGCCAAATTTTTCGGTCAAGAAGTTAGCAACTTTTTCCGTGACGTTTTTTGGCAAGTCATCAACGAAAGAATTGCTTCCGGTTGTAAGAGGAACGATCTGATCGATTTGTTGATCGAATTGAAAACCACTTACGGTGACCAAGATCTTGGTGGATTCAGTGAGTAAATTAAATACGATATTATTACGATTTGTTAATAAAAAATAAAAATAATAAGTGCTTGATAAAAAACAATTTTTTATTGTGTATCTTAGAATTCAGCGGTGACGATTTGGTAGCACAAACAGCTGTCTTCTTTACTGGTGGTTTTGAAACATCATCAACGGTTATGGCCTTCACCCTTTATGAATTAGCCCTTAATCCGGAAATACAGACAAAACTTAGACAAGAAATTTTGGATGCTTTAAATGAAAATGATGGAAAAGTTACTTATGACATGGTAAAACATATTTACAATAATTTTTAATATAACCTTGTTATCAATAATTAGTGACCTTTTCAAAACGGTAAAAATAGTATAATATAATAAAAATTAATAATAGTATAATAAGATAGTAGATAATAATAATGATGATTTAGTAATAATAAATAAAATAACAATTATACATATTTTTATGAAATTATAATATTGCATATTCATTGGAGAAAAGAATGAAAAAGACTTATCTCTTTTACATAATATGAATAATTATGAAACATTTTGCATCATGTTAGATCATTTATAGCGTATATTTGTTTTTTTCCATTAAACTAAAATCAGGGATTTGTTAGAAAAATAATGATGATAGAAACTTATCTTTTAATTTTAGCTTTTAGTTTTAGAGTAAAATTTCGACAAATATTGATAATAATAAAATGTTTAAATCATTTTAGTTAAATTCTATGACGTACTTGGACATGGTCGTCTCCGAATCTTTACGAATGTATCCGCCATTGGGATTTTTGGATCGAATTGCTATGGATGATTATAAAGTACCTGATTCAAATTTAGTCATTGAAAAGGGTACTCCAATTATGATATCGATGATTGGTATGCATTACGATGAACAATACTTCCCTAATCCCACAAAATATGATCCTGAACGATTTAATGCTGTTAACAAGAAAAGCAGACCAGGTTACGTTTATTTCCCGTTCGGTGAAGGACCTCATATTTGTATAGGTAAATTATAACAAATCATGCTGTTATATAACAACTACGGTTATGGTTGTTCTTTTGTAAAAATTATGTAATTTTTTGTGGTTTATTTTTTTTCTTCTTTTTTTTTTTATTAAATTCAATGCAATTTATTTATTTTTTTTTACGTTTATGTAGGTGCACGAATTGGATTATTGCAAGCAAAATTAGGGATTATACATTTACTAAAACAACACGAATATTCTCCGTCCGAGCATACAACAATACCGATGCGTTTAAATCCAAAGGGTGTGACAGCAACGCCAATCAATGGAATACATTTGAACGTTCGAAAACTCATTTCGAATGTTGCTTAAATATTTTGGAAAAATTTCTAATGTAACAATTACTCTAACGCAATGGTTCCCAAAGTGGGCGATGATAGCCACAGACGCATTTGATGGGAGCGAAGGAGGTTGATGAATTTTCTTTTTTGAGCTACTAAAAAAAAAGGAAACCAAAAAATTAATTTTTAGGGGGGGGGGCGATAAGTAATATTTATTTTGGAAAGAGGGCGATAGGACAAAAATGTTTGGGAACCACTGCTCTAACATATATTTAATGATTTCATTTAAAGGAAAACAAAAATGGTTAGATCAATTCCTTAATTATTTATGTAATTTATAACAAAATTAAAAAATATTCAATAATTTGTAATCATAAAACGAAGAAATATGTAAATGATTCGATCAATTTGTTTTTCTTTTTTTTTTTTTTTTGATATAATTGAATATTATCTTTTTAATCGTTATGTTTTTACTTATTTGCATTTAAAGATACACGAGAGAAACTCCATTTTTTTTCGATTTTTTTTTGTCTTCGCAATCCGGTACGATTATTTGCTATTCATGTTTGTGTATTGTGTATACTGTTTATTTCACTCGCATAAATTTTTTTTTAGAAAAAAGATAAAACCATCGACCTTATTGAAGATCAGGAATCATTTATATAATGACATTATAATAATATATGTTTTATTTACAACATCTTGGAATTAAATGGAATAATAGATACCATGTAGTCGACAGTATCGTATACTTTATTCATCTCGTTTTCACTGTATGTATGTGTGTGTGAGTATTTGTGTAAAGTATACGTGTTTTTATGTATAATTCGTGACTGCCTACTTGTGTATGTACGTTTAATATTATTTTCACGTTTTAAATATTTTTGTTTTTTTGCATTTTCAAACATCACGTAATTTCATGCATATGCAATGATAATAATAATCTTCCAACACTTCTTATGCACATATTCAAACATGTATTTAAGTATCATCGTATTCTTTTAATTATTCCCAAAGATTAAATAATTACTATTTGAATTTTGATGATATTCAGTTGTTCGGAATGTAATTTCATCTATAATGATACTTTACTTTTTACTATGAACAATCAAATCATTGACATTACGCAACAAAAACTTCAAATGTGATTTAAAACTTTTTTACGTCTTGATTTTTTCTTGGCATCTCATTAAAATTAAAAAATCAACTTTTTCATTACATTTAGCTTATTATTCTTTTTTTTTTCTATAAACGTGAATGTTTCTTAAACATTGTCAGGTAAATAACGCAGTACAAGATAAATTAGTTACATGCAAATTATGGAAAGTTATTCAATTGAAATAAAATAACAACAAAATAATTACATTGGTTGTTAATTGATGTTAATTGCCGTATGATAAATTCGAGAAAAAAAATATCTGAAAACTCGACTGTTCACTATCATTTGAAAAATTCTCGCATTCTAAATACGAATAAAAACGATATTTCTTTCCGAACAACCTAATATATGATTGAATTCATTCAATTAGCCTAAAAATGTTTGATTATTAATATTTCAATTTTGAGAACAATATTTAATTCGACGAGAAGACGAGCCCTATCGTCGATGTTCTTCATCTTAACATTCATTGGCACAAGGGCGAATTAAACGACTATCGATTTTTGCAATTTATCCGCATAATCGAAATATAGACAAAATATGTCGATAATACATTTTTTGCGGAGAAATATTATTTTTTTTTCATCTTCATCTTCATCTTCAACTTTTTCTTCTTTTTCTTCATCTTCTTCTGCATATTTTATTTTTGAGTCTTTACACATACAGCTTTTCTTAGTACACATCGTTATGGAATACATTATTAGAATATCGTAATAGTAACTCGCCCGCGAGCTTAAGTTAATAATATTTCTTTTTTTTTATGCCTTCTCTCTTTCTCTTTCTCTCTCTCTCTCTTTCTTTCTTTCCCTTTATCATTTAAATTATCCTTGAAGCCACGCGCGTATCAGATAAATATATATTATATATATATTTATATTCATCAGTATATTATAGAATTTAATTCATATTAGTAGTATATATATGCATACATATTTTTAAATCAGTTATTTATTTTCTTCTTTAATTTTCTAATCGTTTCATCTTAATTTATATAATATTCTTATCTCATTTCTCGTTAACGCGAGGATAGAAGTCAGTTCAATCAAATTCGATCACGTTTTTATACCTAATTACTTTTATCTTATTATGTTAATTAGACGCGACTGTAAAGTTACATCTTTAATAAATATTTAAATATATTCACGATCGTTTGTAGTGTTTCTTTCAATATTTTTTTTTTCAAACGTATTCTACGAAAAGATAAACGACGCAATCATGGGGTGGGTGGTGAGGTGGGGTTGAGGCGAGGTTTTTATTAGATATACGAATAATTATTTGTTATACGTTATTATTAACAGATGGTTTGGAAAACGAAGACTTGATTGGATAAGATGTTTTTTTTTTTCATTCGTTAAATATCTTAATACGAGACATTTAAGTGTTCAATTTTATTTTTTTTTTCTCTCTCTCTTTTTCTTCCTATTTCTTCTCCCATTAGGAAGAGAAAACAAAAGATTATGCAACAGACATCGTACTCAGTTGTACCCCCGTAATTGACAATGGTCATTGAATATATGAGAAGGACACGTAGTGCGAATAGACAATGAATTGACAATTAAGGACGGTGTTGCCATAATGCAACCCGCTTGGCCCATTTGAGATATCAAAGTTTCAAAGTTTCTATAACCCTTTCTTTTTTCTCTTTTTTTTTTATCATTGCTCTCCTTTTCTCTCTCTCTTTCTCTCTCTCTCTCTCTCTTTTTTTCATTTTTGTTCAATTTGTTTTTGTTCATATCATTCACGCATTTACAGTAAAATCACAAGAGTACTCGTAGCCCGTTTATCATGAAATTGATGAAAAATCATATAATTTTGCTTATTTTTTATTCATAATCAATTAAAATGTATTTACTTGTGATCAATGAAAATTACGTAGCTTTTCCAATTCTTTTTCCCCAAAAATAAATTTTTTATAATATTTTTAGAATAATCAAGTTTAATTGTTTCAAATTAGATTTTCCTTGTAACGTACATTATTATGGATTATACTTATTGGAATAAGAATATTTTTGTGACTCACTGTAAATACGAACGTATTAACATATAATTCTATTCCACGAATCCAATTTGATTCTAATTAATGACGATAATCGATAAAGAAAAAAACAGCATCAGTATTAAAGTTATAATTATTTAAATGTTATAACTCGAAGTATAACATTTGAATAATTATTCCTTCTCGAAATTTTCCAATTGCGATTAATCTAATTCGCTTTTCTTTTTTACGTTAGTTAAATCTTTCACGATTAAATTATTCATTAGATTATTTATAATTTTTCATTAATTTGTTTCTTCTTCGTTAAATCTTAGAATAATTTGAGAAACATTAAATACAGGAGAGACACGATCTAACGATAACGTTTGAAACTATCCATTAAAAATTGTATCGATCGTTATTGATTTGATTGTCCGGCTAGATTTACAAATTTTTCATCATCCTCCTTGTCATCTTTTTTTTTGTTTTTGTTTTTTTTTTCGCATTATTTTTTTCACCACTTTTTTTTTTGCCAATTTCGTTAGAAAACGTTGGCCCGCGGTTTGTTCGGCCCTTATTAAGAAGAGGGGGATTAGAGATAATATTATTTTAAACTAGGAAAGTGACAAATAAATATGTAGGTCAGGCACAGATAGTGTTTGATAATTGATCATATATAGTCTATACATTTACTTTACGCGACACTCATTCTCTCTCACTCTCTCTCTCTCTCTCTCTCTCTCTCTCTTTTGTATATTTATTAATTTTTTGTTGTTGTATTTTTTTAATTAACTCACGTCTCAACACATTTGTTTCTTTCTGTTAAATCGTTCCGAAATTTGCCGACAGATTATAAAAGTTTATCCTTCAATTTCTTTCATCATTTTAAACTTTCGCAAATTTATTTAGGATTACAAGTTCGTACATTTATTTAAAAGGAAGTTTTGCACATTTATAGTTCGAAAGAAGAGATAGACAAGACTATTGACGGATCGATATATTTAGAACAAATATATATATTTATATATTATTTAATACACAAATTGTGTTTCTTAATGTGACTAATTTCAGAAATGGACAGGTGATACGAAAAACAATGAAAAAACAAATGCATACCAACGTCTGTATCTAATTTGATTTGGCCTCAAAGTTATAGACACTTTTGTGTTCTTATAATCAACGTTAGCTTATAAAAAGTAAACAAAATAATTTGCATCTAAGTTTATAATCATTGTATCATTGAATTGCATTGTATATTGGAAAGTTGAATCTGTTGACAATCTTTTTGCATACTCGTTTGAAGTTAATTTGTGCTGACAATGAATGTCAAATACGCAATTGTTTTCAAATGAATTTAAAAATCAATATCAAAAATATAATTACGCGTTTGTAACTTTGAATTTACGAACAAAATAGAAAATAATTAGTAAAATTTCCAGTTAATGAACTGAGCATCAAAACTGAAATAATTTAATTTAATTAACGAAATATTTGACATTAATTAGTACAAGAAATAAATATTAGTAAGTGTTAGAACACTGTTTGAAAAGGCAAACTATCGAGATAAGTATTGGAACACAAAAGTGTTTGAAACTTTGAAACAAACTCAAATAGGACACATTTTTGTATGAACTTTTATTCGTTGTTTTCGAGAATTTTTGTTCATTTCTGAAGCAAGTGTCACATGTTACGAAACGTTTTGTAGAAATATTTTCTTGGTATCTTCTACTTCAGCAATTATTCCTGATGGAAACAGACGAATTAGATTTGTAGGAATTCATTTTGGTTTTCTAAAATCAACTCTTTGATATTCGTTTGATTTTTTTTTCATTTTGATTTTTATTTGATTTATTTGGCGCAATCGAAATAAATGAACAAACCAAAGTGTTTTTGAAAGGAACAATTAGGCGAGTTAACGCTTAACGATCTTTCGAGATCGTTCGAATTCGAGGTTCTAATCTGCCTCGTTTAAAAAATAAACCTACTTTAATTATTAAAAAACAAAAAAAAAACAAAAAAAGACAAAAAAAATCAAAACAAATAAAATAATTAAAAAAAAAGCTACAAAATATCTTAAAATTATATTCGAATTTTCTCTTTCACTTTCACTTACTTTCACTCCCTTTCACCCTATATATCTCCCCTCCGAAAATGATAATGTAAGACTAGAGTTCAACAATACATCCGGTTTCTAATCGCTTCTCGGAAACGCCGGTATTATGTGATAGTATAAAAATATAAACATTTAAAGAAAACAAACGGCATGAAGAAAAAAGAAAAAAAGTTCAATTAAAATCGTATAGAAGATTAAAAAATACGCGTGTTTGTTCATCGTTTAATTCGGTTTCTTTTTTTTCGAATTTTTTTTCCTATTGTTTTCCCTAGCTGGTCGATCATTCGTCCGATCAAATTATCAGAAAGACTATTAGGCTGGGTCTTTCTCATATTACGTTTTCTTTTTTTATTTTTTTTTCAATTAGTATCTTAATTATTTCTTATCTTGTTCACATACATAATTTTTTTATGTTTACTTCATCACACACGCAATAGGTAGACGGATCAACATTTTAGTTTCTAACTAAACACCTAGTCATATCCTATGTATTATATATAATATTAATAATAATAATATTATAATAATAATAATTAATAATTAATAATAATAATAATAATAATAATAATAATAATAATAATAATAATAATATATACATATATAAACTTGTATAGTTTGTTTTAAACATGTCTCTTATATATATGTACATAGATAGCTGCACACATGCGTTAAATGCGCTTTAAGCGACAAACTTTATACGTACCCCATGTGTGTTTTTTTATTATATTTTATTTTATTTTATTTTATTTTATTTTATTTTATTTTATTTTATTTTATTTCATTTTATTTTATTTTATTTTATTTTATTTTATTTTATTTTATTTTATTTTACTTTATTTTACTTTATTTTATTTTATTTTATTTTATTTAATCCTATGTCAAACGAGACGAATACCACACCCATCCCCTTCACATTACGGCATTTATTTTTTCTAAACTTACAACCCCTCCTCTCTCTTCCAACCCTTAAAGCCCCTATTTTCATTTTCATCGTATATTTTTTGTGGTCGGATTGAAAAATTTTGAGCCTAAGTTGGAAACGTTTATTTATTTTTTATTTTAAACAAAAGAGAAGTTCGATTGACAAAAAATTGTTTCTACATTAAGCTCAAAATTTGGTAATCCATACATGTTTACATGGATGCGATTATATAAATGCATCTATTCAAGGACACAACATTAATATTTTTTTGTAGTGGCCAATGCTCATGAGTTTCGACAATAAATTAAATTATTCTATATGCATCGTATTAGATTAATTTAGTTTAATAAGAATAAAAACTAAAGATTAGCGCGAAATTTAAGAAATTGTGCATGTGGAAATGAATGGTCAATAACGAAATTCAAAGAATTGGTTTAAAAAGATCTTCGAAACGGATCGATTACAAAAATCGAACCTATGGATTGATTTCGTTATTGGCTTTAACTTCAAAAGGGAGTAAGAAGAAAATTTGGTAGAGATTTGGCAAAATAAATTGGCGTTCGATCGCTTGCCGATTTTACGAGAGACGCAGGTATACTTTTTCTACATTCGTTGAGACTGTGCAATGCGTCAGGATTAGCTGTTGCAACAAAACGGTTGTCGAGCCCACCATTCGCGTCTCGAGGAATTGGAAGTAGTGTCTCTCTCGGCATGCTGATCGACGCGTAGGTCGTATCACTTGATCTCCTCACGACTGTGCAATTTGTGTGATTGCGTTGGTGGCGAGGACGATGCAAATTCGGTGCTGGTAATCGTCGTCGTCGTCGTCGTCGTAGTTGCAGTTTGTCTCTTTGGCCGGAAACTAGCAGTCAATGTTGATATCCAACCAGTTTGAGATTGTTGAGAAGTTTGATCGTGCAGGGAACTACTGTTGCTGTTACTCCTAGTGCTGTCAATGCTCATACCAGATTTGAAACGAGAAAACAAACCTGGCGAAGACTTTTTGGATGCAGCTGGGGAGGAAAATGCGTTGACTTTTTTATTGGACTTCGCCGATTCCTTGCACAGCATCGAATCTAAACTACCAGTGTGCTGTAGATCCTCTGCTTTTTTGGCTTCCAACGAACCCAATAAGACACCTTCCGTTTGTTTCGTTATCTTAGATATGTCTTCCATACTAGCGGAACTTCGTCTGATTTCTATTTTACCCATGTCTTCTCTATCGTCCAATCCGCAGGGTGACGAATTGTCAGGATTGACGATTATTTCTGGCCTCTTTCTTTGTTGCTGTTGATTGTTACTAGTTTGCCTAACTTCGATTTCCTTGAATTCTATGTCTATGTCAATGTCGAGACTTTTTTGTCCCTTTAAATTTTTATTACCTTCGGGATTGGACAGATTACGTCGATGCTTGGATTCGATCGGTCTGTTTTCTTTCTCCCTTGGTAAAACTTCCATCGAGGCTGACGATTTTCTTTCTTTCGCAAATACCGTCTTCCAACCTTTGTTTTTACAATCCTGCGTTTTCCTTACTTTAGGTAACGTCATCGCTCTTTTATCTATAGCTGACAATTCTACTACAGTTGCTATTTTTCCTCCATGTTCTTTACTTGTACTCACTTTCCTAAGATTACATCTTTTACAAATGTTGGAAAGATCATGCTGTTGCTGTTGACGTCTGGTGGAAACGGTACAGGTACTGCTACTGCTCACGGAGTTGCTTTTATTCAGACTTTTGGCCACGTGTTTAGTGGCTTTTGGACTAGGTGAATCTTTGGAGTCAAAACTAATGCTCAAACGATCGGTAAAATTTCTCAAACGCGACAACAAGGATTTGTGATTGTTGGATAAATTGGTCTTGTCGTCGCAAGAACAACACAACGATACAACAGATTCTCGCGTGATCGATATGTCCTTGCGATTAATACCTGAAGATGATTGATGCTTTGAACCATTACTTCTCGCAGATGATTCTGTAGCATCACCAATCACATTACCGTTACCTTCGACCACTTGAATCTCATTGATGACTTTCTCATCGAAGAAAGTTGAATCGTCACGTTCGAGTTCCTCGAAAATTTTACTATCGTCGATCGATTTAGCGCTAACAGGTGAACTCATATTACTTTCGAGAATATTTTCACCGCGACTACGTTTCCTTTCGCGTTCGTGTTCTCTCATAGCACGTACCAGTTCGTAATTATGATAATCCAAGGATGATTTCTCTCTGCTACCCTTTCGACTACCAGGATAACTCTTCCTACCTCCTGAACTAACAGGAGCTTCTTCAGTTGATATTTTGAACTTTAACGTTTTCTCGCTAATTTCAACTTCAGTTGCCGTTTCGGGATCGGAACTTTCAAGGTTATCCGCTTCCTCAATAGTTAGATTCTCCGTAATGTCATCCTCCGTTGAACGTGATCTCGAATGAATCGTACAGGTTGAACGTTTAGAACGCATACTGTGTGATGATGTAGATTTAACGACCGTCGAGTTACTCGTGTTGCCAGCTTGAACCAAGGATTGATTCGAATCACCAATATCGGCTACGCTTTTGCGATGATGACGTTCATCTTTTGCTGCCTCATTCAATTGTCTATAATACTCGAGAGCTTCCCTAACTGGCCGTACTATCAGATCCTACAAATAAATTCATTTGAATATTTTTCGTCATAATTAAAAATATTTTGAAATCGTACAGGTAACCAATGTTATTGATTTTTTTCTAGTATGTTACCTCAAGTTCTAGAAACAATTCGCCGAGAGCTTCGAAGAGAGGAAGAAGAACTAGGCCGATAAATCTGCACTGCGACGATGGTTTAGTTACTTTGTCGCGGTCCATAAATGGAGTTACTGGAAGCCCTTCGAGTTTCTCAGCGTCGCTTTGCTTAAAGAATTCTTGAAGCAGACTGTCCAACCAGGGTTCCGCGACTTCCATAGGCCGTGCCTCGTTACTGATGTCGGCAACCTTTATGAGGATCATCGATAGCTACGTAAAAACAAACTCGGTTATAAAGACCAAGTCTAAAAATGGGGTTGATAGTTATCGAAATTATAATCTATAGCAATCACGTAAGAAATATAAGAAGAATAAAAGTTAATGTTTTTACCAGATCAATGTGGACCTCGTTTGAGTAATCAAACTTCTGCACGATGGCGGTGAACCGGCCGAGTATCTCGTTATGCCTGGCCATGTCGGTTGCAAGAATGCATCTTATGATACCGTCGCGTACAGTCCTGTAGTTCTTACAGTCCAAGGACGCCAAGATGTTACACTCGGCTGACTCTAAGACACGAAAGGCCACCGAGCAATGATGATTTTCCAGGGGCGAGATGTCGTTGTAGCGTAAAGCCAACTCGGTACGTGCATTTATCTGATAGATATTATTGTAACCAGGATGATCAAGATCGTGGCAAATGCAGGAGACAATTAGGATAAAGACCTGGAGGTAACCGATCCGCGACGGTAAATCTACCGCCCAAGCAATAGCGTACATCTAAATTCAAATAAATGATTATTTTTAGAATGATTCACATAGCTGGAGTATACTTGATGATGATGATCAGAAATAATATTGAATTAATGTTACCATCTGCGCTACGCAGAAACAGTGCCGAAAATTATGGAATGGCACCTCGTTGTAGTTTATGAAAACCTCGAAAAGGAAGTTCCTCAATATAGTTAAAGGAATGTTAAATTTTTGAGGTAGCTCGAGCTCAACGAACATTGTTTGCAACATCCAAAGGAGTTCTGCGTCTTCCCATTGTCGAGCATCAAAGGCTGGTGAACGAAGCCCTTCTCGAGCGTCCGATGCCATAGCCACGTCGCTAAAACAATCAGGAAAACATCATCAAGATTTTTTAAACTTTTCTAATATTTAACACTGTAATAACATATAAATTTATATCGCAACACTAGGTAAGATTTTGAACCTGACTTTAATTTTTAGACTACCCTGTTTAATTGGCAATACAAATTTTCGGTTGGCACCACGAAATCACGTTGGCATCGCGATAATGCACGTGGCGGTCGCCATTATTGGTACGCCACATCTGATTATTAGTCGGCTAACGGTGGCTTAATAGCATTTCGTGGTAACGCGCTAAGAAGCTTACGTCGCCATGATGAATAACACGACCCATTCCATCATGACAATGTGAATATATATATTATATATTACAAATATATACACACAGAATGTTTCATAATATTTTGGATCCACTTCAGTTTTGAACAAAGAATATAAAATCAATGAAAGATAACTCATACTGTCACGTTGTGTCCAATTGGAACATATTTCAAAGTTATAGTCAGTTTTGTGTTCCAATAATCCACGACAGTTTATCTTCATAGAGAAAGTGTACGAAATTACCAATACCGATTTGCATTCCAGCTTGCAGTCATTGCATCATCGAGTTCCGCGGTCTTTCTAAAATTCCAATTACCATTGTTTTCAAATGAATTCAAAAATACAAATCTAAAATCTAATTACAGGTTTGTAATTTTTAACACACAGAAAATAGAAAATAATGAAGTAATTCTTGTTAAAGAATTGAGCATCAGGGAACTGAAATAATTAAATTTAATTAACGAAATGTGTGACATCAAAGATGACAAGGAATAAATATTTGCAAGTTATAGAACAACACTGTTTGGAAATGTAAATCGAGGATTATTTTTGTAAACATCAACTATTATCTACTATTGGAACAACAAAAATGGTTAAAATTTTAAAATATGGTCTAATAGGACACATGCCCTTAGGAAAGTTTTATTTATTTTTCTGTGTCCCCTGTTTATTTCTATAGTGGTTACTTTGCATTACGAAACACTCTGTATATAGAAAAATAATAATATATGTGAACTATTTTAAGACATTAAAATATAAATTTCGATTATTTTTTGTCTAATCTTATGTATCGAAAATAAAGTAGGGTACATATATCATTTATAATTGAAATAATTATAAGTTCTTCTCGAACGACCGGTGTTACCTTTAAATGGAAGAAATAAACTACCGGGAAATAATCGTTTTCCAATTATCTCGTAATCATTGTTCATTATCGTTTGAAAAATAAAGTATAATAATTAGTAACGAACTAATAGGTTTTATAATTTCGTAGTTTTTTTTTGTTTTAAATATGATTGAGAAGGTTTATTATTATCAAGTGCTGATGTTATTAAAGAGAAACGAAATTTAGGAATTTTATGTTTACGAAATAATTTCTATAATTTTTTTCAGTCATATTTCAAGCATATCGTAGGATTTACATTAGAAATTGTTGTTTTGTGGTCAATCTTTTTGTTAGATAATCAACGATGAAGAAACGTAACTGAATTATGGCAAAATGAAAGCTTTATCTAATGCACCGGATTGAAATCAAGTATAGTAAAATAAACGATTAAAAGAGAACTGGAAATCCTCGGATTATTGATTATCCAGAACCAACAGTAGGATTTATATGTCAAGTGTAATTCGATCGGTACTATTACCTATTGTACGTGATTCGTCAGATGTCGAACCATATGATCTAACAATTAATTTAACACATTCTCGAATAATCTTTGACTTTAAACAATGTTAATGCAAGAAAAAATCTTTCCAGAAAAAGAACACAAAAATTTCTCGATATAAATCTAACGAATTTTTTTCCTTAATGGCAACATTCTAGCAAAAACTGTATACTCGAATCATAAAAAGCGTTAATTATTCTCTCAAATTAAATTACATCAAATTAAAATTCTTAACCCCTGAACGATTCTTAATCAAATTTTTTTCTCCTTCAACGTGAAGTAATGTAATTTTCTTCGAATTAGCTTACCGTAATCGAAATTATTTTTATTGAAATCCTTGTCCCACAACGCGGAAATATGTTTTCACGTAAAAATAAGAAGAAATGATTTTTTTTACGCATGTCACGATAAGTAATGACCTTAATTTTGGCACGAGTCAATGAGAGAGAGAGAATGATTTGAATCAATTCGTAAATTGAATTTACGTCTCGCGGTGGGATAGTAATCTGTGATAAAGTACCCAACTTATCAAGCTTTATCGTGTGTCCTTTTACATGCAATTTACTTACCGTTACACCGTTCCAATCTATTCAATTAATTCTAATTACTCCTATTAATTTATTCCACTTCATACAATTCTGCTCAAAATGAATTCTATTGTAAATAAATGAATTACCAAGTAAGCGAGAACCAATAGGGTTTGGATTGTTTTATATTTGAAGAAAAAAAAACACCACAAAAACCATGAAATATAAGTTTTTATGCAAGAGCACGAATATCGGTTCAATTCGGTTGGATTTAGTAATATTAATCGTTGAAGCTGTGTCATACATGTATCTGATTGTGAACAATACGTGTCGAGAAATAAAACTACCATCCTAATTATGAACTTTCATCTTTGATCTTCAATTTATCTTTCATCTCCCTTTCACATGTTCATTAATTTTAATTTTAGGTTGACCGTTTAGGTCTAATCCTAGAAAACCAATCTATTATTCTTCCAAGAACCTGAAAGATTTGTTCAATTTGTTCTTGGTTAGACGTGAGTCGCATGAAACTGTTAATAGTGATCGCTATTAATTCATCCAAAAAAGAAAAATTAAACGAACCTTGTCGAAAATTTCATAGTCAATTTAATTAAACGTAAATTAATTACTAGCTTTTGTTAAAGTTTACTTCAACGTAATGAATTGAGGATACTTTTAAGTACTTTGCTGAAATTATTTGTCGTTCTTTAAACAAAAATAACGTTACAAGTTTCCCTATTATTAGTATTAAAAGTAAGTATAGTGTTTGTTGCAAGCTAATAGCGTGACGTAATAAATCCAACGATAGTTAGATCCTGAATCTTGCTTTTAATCGTATCAAAGTAGAAACCTCTAACGCAAACATAAGCGAACTAAGGTATTACATGGGTTATGTACCTAACGTAAAAGTAGTATCAATTAAGGAACACGCAAAAGGGTGGAAGTTGTTGTTTCATAGAAAGCAGGAACGTGTAAAGTAATCTTTATTGAATCTATGGCATAATGCCAGTTTTACTAAAGCTGCATAAATCGATATACATAAACGAAAGATGTTTAAAAAGGTATTGTGGAGTGGGGTAAAGGGTAACCATCAACTACTATACATACTATACTACTCTTACACGATTCTTACTCTATACGTAACAAACCACATTCCTCCACATTGCTGAAATATGCATATGCGAAAGGTCCTATTTTAAGATTCTCCAAGTTCTTCCGCTCTTCCTCGAATTACCATTTTCCATCAACGTGTTCTCGGTTGGCTTCCATTTAAAACGAATCACAGTAAATGGAAAATGATCTTCGTACAATGCATTCTTGAAAGATGATAACTAACTATTGCATTCATAAATCTTCCAAAAGAAAAATGTCTAACTAGATACCAATTCCATCTCATTTTACTTTCTTATAACCTTATTTTCTTTTTTCTTTTTTCTTTTTATTTGAATCACTATAAGATACTTATCTAGTTTATAAAATTAAAATTTCTATTTTATAAAATAAACATTCATTTATATATATTTAAAGGAAAAAGTTAATTTGAAACTGTTTACGGTATACGTGAAAAATTTAAATTGATCACTAATCTAAATAAAAATTTTAATTACAAATATGTACCAATTCAAATTTATACTGTAGACAATTAACATACTACGTGAACTGTATTTTAATTAAATCTTTTACTAGAATATTACAATAATTCTTTTTTTATTAATTTTAAAACGAAAATTGACATAAAAATTTATTTGATCGTTAAAGAAAAACGAAACTTTTGTTCGATACAATTTTCAAATATTGCAATACTTTGTTTCAGTCAAACAAAATATTTGCTTTTGTAAGCAATCCTACGAAATAAATTTTTATGTGGAAAGGAGAACAAAAAGTATTTCACATTGCTTTCAATATTTTTATAAAAAAAAAAAAAAGTGAAATAAAACACGAAGCATCAGATTAACAAGAGACCAAAAGGGACAAATCAGTTTGAAAAGAATTAAATCAGTTGAATTGTTTTTAGTATTACTTTTTTTCCTGATATTTTTTATTTTATTTTATTTTTTTGTTTTGTTTTATTTTAACTAAAAAGCCAAACGCAAAGAGCTTTGATTGCGCTAAACGACGAGAAGAAAATCGAGAAGAGAGAGTTTCTCGTGTCGCATGCGAAAAAAAGAAAGAGGGTTAAATAAAATCCTTGAAACACGTGCTTTCATTTCGGACTTTTATATGTATACGTATGTGTATAATCTGTATCTATATATTTTTAAAACTTAACACGACATATCCGCATTGGTCCTTGAAACAAACGCATAAATTTTGCAACATTAAAAAAAGATTGGCCACTACCCAAAATCTTAAGCTTGAATACGTGACGAATCCAAGAAATCTTTATACTTCGTGATTTTCCTATTCCCCAATTGAAACATTTTTAACACTCATATGAAAACGTAAATGAAAATACAAGCAATAACAATATGTTCAAAAAAAGGTATAGAAATATTTTACGTTTTTGAACTTTGCATTCGTTTCAACCTTTACTTCGTTCCAATTTTCTTTGCACGCAATATTTGCATTTTTGCGTTAAGTAAAAAAAAGTTGGAAAACTTTTTCGAATATCGAACTGAGAAAAAGAGAGAAAAATAATAATAGAAATAATAATAAGCATCGATAACTAAGAACGAGAACTTTTAGTCGATTTAATCGAATCCGTATTCAATAACCATCGATAGTAAGACATTAAATCAATAAGTAATTTAAAAACGTTTTCTAAGAAGCGTACAATTTTAAAAGAAAAATACGATTCATAAAAATAAAAATATATCGTGTGATATATTTAAAAAAGAACATCAGAAATCAACTGACAATGAGTCTCATTTGACACACTTTTTTTACCAACGTTAACAACAATTGAGTTATCTCTCAATTGGCATGTTTGAAATACCTCATTTATTGATAGTACATTTGAAGATAACATATAAAATATACGAGTTATATTGCAAGTGGGATTCATCGTTTGAGGAATCGTAACGTTGGATAGGCTCTTAATCATGCCAATTAAGGTATGTTGATAGAAGCAACTCGTTCACCTCGTTCATCAGATCAACGATGATATAACTCGAAACACCGACGTATTGTCGCCTAATTAATAGGATTATAACCAGCGCATAATCATCTTCGGCTACCAAGTCTGATGACCTATTCCGAGCACGAGTGCATCTCTCATATCTGTTATTGCAATCGAACGTTTCAACTCTCTGATAACCTAAACACAATACGATTTGGTTGATAAAACCTAAAGGTTCTATCAGGATTATATTTATGTTTATTAAAAATTGAAAACCTCTGAAATGGTTTATTATATCAGAATAAACGCTTCCTTGAAATTATTTATCTTTTGATAATGAGAATTATGACATTTGTTTAATTTATAAATTATGAAAGGGATGACATTTTTTTTCGACTTACCAGATGTCGAAAAACTTCATTTGCACTTTCCGCTTCTGACTGTCACTCTTACGACGATACTGCAACTTTTTACATTCTTCCGAGGTACTGGGTTCTGGAAGTTGCTTGTAAAAACCTGGAAATGACGAGATTATAAAGTTGAGTCTTCCAACAAGGATTTTCCAACAAGGTCGTTTAAGATAATCTAGGGAATATAACCAAGTAGAACAAACGATTATTAAAGGAAATCAAGGAAAACTTGCTTAAAGGATTGATACTGATTATTCGAATTTTATATAAAGTTAAAGCAAAAATGATTAAAGAGAGAGAGAAAGAAGATTTGAAAGATTTTTGTTTTTTTCTTAACCATAAAAACAGTTTTATATTCTCAAATTGATTGTGAAATAGAAATAGGATTGTTTTCCGTTAGCAAATAAATGTTTACCGAACTTGACTTACGTTCGATTTGAGTTACTCTTCTACGATTGTTTATTCGATCTTACGTTTGTCTTTCGAGTCTCCAATATTGCAAGGAAACAAAAATAATAGAAAATAAGAGGATATTTTTTAAAGTGATCTAACTTGGCTGCGTAATTTTAAAGATATCTCAATAAAGTTAATGATCGTGTCGTTTTTTTTACAAAAAAAGAAAACAGCAGCAGATAAGTATAAGAAAATCAACAAAGTTCATTTTTTATTGGAATGAAAGCTAGCATAGAAAAATGATAGAAGTAAATAAAAAATACGAATAAAAGTGAAGAATAAAACATAAAAAAAAATAGAAAGTTCATTTAAAAGTGACACCTGTAACGATAGTGATTAAGATTTATATAATTAAGATCAGAATAAAAATATAATAAACATAAGAAAAACAATTAGAATGATATTGAAAAATAAAATACCCCTCTACCTCCCTAACTTCCCCCCTTTCAATAAAAAATACACCACAGTTCATTTAAAGTGTTGCTAGTGGCAAAAAAATAGTTATATAGTTGTAAGAACGAAGAATACAAAGGTGGGATCGAAGGTGAATGAGTTCGGGTAGTAGGGATATCTCATCTTTGACGTACTTACCTAGCCAGCTGAGATGCTCAGTGGTCTCGAGCTTGTTCTTGAAACTGTCGACCTGACTCTTAAGTTCCTGAAGTGCCAACGGTGGTGAAGCGCAAATAGCCTGCTGGTGCTCGCGCAATTCCCGCTCGAGGCTTGCCACGCGGCTCTCGAGTGTCCGTACAACTTCCAACTCCATCATCCCCAAAGAGGCGGGGTGAGCTCCGACGACCTTGAATAATATCCCTCCACTTACTACGACATGCTTCTTCTCTTTTCTTTTCTTTTCTTTTTTCTTTTACCTTCTCATACATTGAACGCTTCTTTCCTTTCCAACCTTTATAATACTCCTCCTCTTCCATCCCTACCCCCGTTTTTCCATTCTTTCCTCTATTCTTTTCGTCTTCCTTTTTTTTCTTTTTGAAGAAAAAGAAGAAGAAAAGAGAATATTTCACGATTCACTACATTTCTTTCAAACGATTCGATAAATTCTCTACCACGATTACTTCAACAATACATCCAGTCTCACCTCAACCTCATTCTACACCAACCTACTTCATTTTCTACTGTTCATTCCTTGTTTTTATTAAGTATAATTATGCTTAAGAGGAATTATATTAATGGATATGAATTCAAATCTATGCTCCGAGAACTTATCGTTGTCAGAATAACGGTACTATTATTATATTGTTATAGTACAGAAACGTTCTCATTTGTTTCTATCAATAATCGCCTATTCGTGGGCCATTGAACAATTTGTAATTGTACAAAATCGATCTACGCATTTACCAATCTGTTGTTATCAAATCGGAATATACCTTAACGAATAATGCATGAATCGAATTGTTCGATTCAACCTGGATTACTTCGACCATGTTACTCAATATTCGTATGTTAATATACGGATATATGTTTGTTTGTATCTATTTGTTACATTTATGTCAAGGATTGAAAAAGGTGAAGTAACATTGAGCGTAAGGGTTCGTGTAGATTTCGATTATTATTATTATTATTATTATTATTATTATTATTATTATTATTATTATTAGTTGGCGTTAGGAACTCGAAAGTTCATTGCTGCAAATACCAAATCCCGCCATTGTTAATGTATAATTAATTGATTATATTTTACTCTTTATTATTATTATTAGTTGGCGTTAGGAACTCGAAAGTTCATTGTCACAAATACCAAATCCCGCCACTGTTCCCGTCCCTGAGAGCGATCCTTCAATTCGCGGTCTTCGTATCCTATTTCTTTCAGAAGTAGATTTCGATACAAAGTAAAATATATTTGATAGAATAACAATAACAATAACAATGTTTCGTTTACCTGAAGAACATAGGGCGTGTCGGGAGTGTTGGCAGGTAGATGACAGGAAATATTCAGGAGCTTGTCTCCCTTACGAAGCTTCACGATATCCAGAGGACCAGCCTCTGCAGCGCTTCTAAAGAGTTCTGAAACATTAATAAACACAAAATTCGACCATTAATCGAACGATCTTTTTTTTTTTTTTTTTTTTTTTTTAATAAAATCAAATATTTTCATCAAATAACGTTGACAGAAACAAACAGTTTGTCAAAAAATGTTAACGAACATTGTTGGGTGTACGGTCACCGGTTCATGCTATCGTGAACGCGTTTTCTCACTTTGTACGAAAAAGGAATGCTATCTTTTTTTCACTTCCACGTTATAAGGGTGGAAGGAGTTGATCCAAAAAAAGAACACCCCAATTATGCTTAACTGAAGATATGTATCACTATCTGCCATAATTTTCTTACTTCCTAGTAATAGTAACCACTGATTTATACTAACTAATCACTGAAGTGTTCAATACGTTGTACGTAATTAAAATTGTCGGACCAACTTGCTGAACCAACCGAATTACATAGATCAACTGGATCAACTTACTGGATCAATTGAGTTGCAATGGTCTTTCCCTGTTATTTATAACATTTTTCTCACCTAAGGCCACAGTTGTGCCCTTAGAGTGGGGGTAGTTTACGAAAGATACTACTTTGTAAATTGTAATAAATATGATCAATTCTTTCTTCGACCCAAAGGGTGTGAATAACCGACTAAATATACCCCATTTTAAGCTGAATAAACATATTAATTCTTTTTTAGGTCCGAGAGTAGCCCATTGTAAAATGAATAATACTATAAACTTTCCTGTATAATTCGATATCTTCGGGACCATTTGTTTACTTAAATATCTCTATTACCGGCCGATCCGATAAGAAAATTTCCATCGGACCGAATTCTTCCGGATGTCTCAACAAAGGACGTAAAATAAACTCGTTAAAGCCATTTCTAAGACAATCTGATATTTTTTGGATGTTCCGACCAAAGAACGGAAAAACATAAGCAATTGAGCCAGTAATCTTTTTTATTTTGCAGACTAACTTAATAAAAAAAAAATTATTGAAAGCAAAAGGTATCAAAATATTCAATTAGATTTAATTCATTCATTTTTTTATTTTATAAGATAAAATAAGATCTTTTGGGGTCAAGTAAAGTTAACAGATACGAAATTATCAATGAATTAATTCATCGATCTTTTTTTTTTATAAGATGATAGAAAGCAAATAATGAAAAAAAAAAACTCTAATCGTTAAAGATGAAGTAAAGGTCGTAGAATTTGCTGACGTAAGGTGAGAATAAAAGAAAAGTAGTAATGATAGTTTTTTTTTCCTATGAAATAGAAATGAAAGCACAAAAATGGGGTAGAATAGGGTTAACGATGATTTGCCGATTCCTTTTTAGATCTTTTCTCAATATATTGGGTTGTTGAAAAAGTAGTTTTTCTTACAAAAATTTTGTTTGTCGCGTTTATCCGATAAAATCTTATTGAAATTCTAGAAGAAAAGACATTTCAGATAGGATTTAAAACCGTCATGTATTTCGATCTGTTAAGATTCAAAATTTCCTTCTAATAATTTCAATTTAAAATAATGCACCAGGTTCGTGTCATCCGGTTAAATGAAATGACAGTAAAATGAAGAAACTGAGGATTGCTGATTTTTACATAATAAAGGGAAAAACAATTCAGGAGTTGAATTTATTTAAATTCAGACCCATTCCTGATCATCGAAAATCATTGAAATTCTAAATAAGATAAAATCATCTTTTATTTATCATTGAAAAACCGGAATTACTTTTCGAACGACCTGATTCGTTACGGTGTGGGTGTATACATGTACTTGCTTATGGATATCAAAAGCAGATACTCGAGTATTTCATGGAGGGATGAAAAATGGGTTTTCTTGAGAATCCTATCATGTGTATCGTAGCTTTCATGGGGGATCATTTATAAAGTTCTTTCACTTTTTTTACTTTCACACCTATGTCAAATGTTCTCTTTCTATGGAAAATCCTAACAAAAAAGAAAGAAAATAAAAAAACTTTCAACCTTATCTTCTATTATTTAAAATATGACTAATGAGAGTTAAAATTGATATAGAAAATAGAAAAGGTTAGTGATAAAGTTAATATATAACTAGATGGGTCTAAACTGATAAAAGTTTATTCATAACCTCGGTAACAAAGGCAAGACTTGATTTTACAAAGGAAAATGTTGAAACGACGTGGATGGAAGGAATGATTCTATTTGAATGAATTCTACGGTCAGAACACCGACCACATGGCAAAAGAGAAACACATACTCACACACACAGAAAAAGAAAGAGATAGAGACAGATAGAAGGGGGAGAGAGATAGAGGGAGAGATAGGGAGAACAAACGAGTTTCCGTATTTGAAATAAGTTTCCACCCCTTTCACAGAGGTTGGGTTACCTCTTGGGATTTACAAACGTGACGAGCTTACGCGAATAAACAAAAAGTGAGCTTACCAGGGTAAAAAATCGAACAGCTGGCAAGCAAACTATTCGTAAGATCTTTTTCATTTCTTTTCTTTTCTTTTCTATTCGAACTAAAATATATAAAATAACAACTAAATAAAAATTGAAATTACTTGTTAAATTTACGATTAGACAAATCGAACAAAGATATTCTCTCGTGTTAGGTTTTAAAAATGATTATAATGTTAAAATGAGCTTTCGTGCCTTCTCATTATATATGTGTGTGTGTGAGTGTGTGTGTGTCGTAAGTTCGTACGACCATAACTTAACCCGAGTAAACACATCGGCATCGAGTGGGTTCATCGTTTGTCAAGTAAACTGTTCTAATTGATTCGAAAACTAGGAGCGGCTAGCTTCTGCAATCATAAGGGAGAAAGTCATGTTATTTAATTCTTAAATACAGTTTTGTCGTATTTTTAGTCGTGACGCGTTAGACGATCTTTGATCTTTTCCAACCTTACAATATATACCTTCGAGACGTTTACTTCAAAATTCAAACACGAGAATCAATAAAAAAAAAGTAAGAAAGAAAGAAGAAGAAAAAAAAAGACAGAACAAAAGAAAGAAAAGTAATAAAAAAGTAATCATACAAGTATAAATTTACACATCGCGCACCCACTTTCCATCTAATTTGTCCTGTTTATGAGTTCAAATGAAAAAATTAAAAATTAAATATATTAAATATATGTTAAATCAAATTGAACCAAGACAAATCTCATACGCAAGGGTATCGTAATGTCAATGTGATTTTCTCGCACTTTAGGTTGGAACTTTTTGAAAGCGTTGTTATTTATGAGAACGTTGCCGACTGGGTTGATCGAAAGTACGCGAACGATCGTCTCCTCTCAGCACGATTTTTACGACCGACCGAATCTTACTCTCTCAATGTTCCTCCGACGAAGAATAAACGCGTCCACGACAGATAGAAGAGAAAAAGAAAGAGAGATAGAGAGAGAAAGAGTAAGTAAGTAAATATATGTGAGCGTAAGAGTGAGTGAGAGTGAGAGAAAGAGGAAGGGAGATGCAAAAGCTGCTGCAAAAGGAAGGAAGAGGAGAGTCCATCTTCTGCTACCCGTCGTCCATTGGTTCTAATAGGATAATGAAACGTGAATCATGAACGTACGGCGGACGATTATATTTTTATTCTGACCCACGCTCAATTTATTCATTATTTTGTTGAGGCCAATATCATTGGGACGAGGTGCAGGAAGCCATTGTACTCGGAATGTATCGCCTCGCGAGTTTCCATCACGGTCGATTCGATCCTTGCCAATGAACTATCAACTTAATCAACATTCATTCAAAATCACATCGAATATTGTTCAATTAACATCAAACAATAAATCGTATAATAGTTGAGGTTCTAAATTGAGATAAGTTTCAGCAATTATTATTTGCTTTTAATTTAATTATGATTTAAAAAATCTTTTTATTTGATCGTGGTTATGCAGAGCATTGCCGATGAACTATCAACTTAATTAACATTATAAAATAAATCGTAGGATAGTTTAAGGTTCTATTGTTATTAGGGTTTCTCTGATAAGTAACAGCAATTATTACTTGCTTTTTATTAAACTATGATTTTTAAGATTTTTTATTTGATTGTTGTTATGTAGATCCTTGCAAATGAATTATCACCTTAATTAATATTATATAATACAATAAATAGTAGAATAGTTGAGGTTCCACTGTTATTAGGTTTGTGTGGTAAATGATTGCAATTAATATTTGTTTTTAATTTAACTCTGATTTTTTAAGATTTTGTATTTAATTGTGATTAACCAAATCTTTGTCAATGAATCACCAACTCAATTCACATTCATTAAAAATCACATCGGTTGCTGTCGACTAACATCATACAATAAATTGTCGGATAATTGAGGTTCTACTGTTATTATGTTTGTGAGATAAATAATTATAATTATTATTTATTTTTAATTTAATTTCGATTACGTAAGATTTTTATTTGATTGTGATTAAAGCATATGTTTGACAGTGAATTATCAACTTAATTAAGATTAATTTAAAATAAAATCATAAAGAAAAATTCAATAAAACTTCCAATATCAATCAATTTTTTTCACCGATTCTACTGTAGAATATTAGCAATTGTCAATATTATACACAAAATTGAGGTAATCAACCTTGCAAATAGTAAAACGCTGAGATACTGAAATCACAGTTTCACTGTATTAATTACAATAAAAATAAAATAAAATAAATGTAAATTAACTTAACTTTGAAAGCTAAGTAAGTCATTTTGATTGGTTTAGTAGTTGCAGTGTTAAGAAAGTAGTCCTTAAACTAATTGAGAAAACTTTCTCGTTTCAACTTGAACAGCTTTGACTTTAGAAAACTTTAATGTTGATAGTCTGTGTTTTAATTCTTATCTTAAAAAAGTGTAATTACCTAATAAACATAAAAAAAAAGAAAGAATAATTCGAATGATATCTTATACATTGATTTTGAATCCTAATCATTGTATTAAAGATAGTTAGTAATCTAAAATAGAATAAAGACTGTTTCAATCGATTGCACTCGATGAAAGTTTCACCGATCATGTACTCGGTCATAGGGGACGTAATTTTTCATTTGAATGGTATGCACTTTGAATAGCAGCTACCTGCGTTCTTTTTATCGGTTCGCTTTCGCAACCATTCGCGTATTCCGTATATATATGTATGTATTTATACGGTTAGCTCATGCAATAAATGGTAATACTAGGGTGAAGTAAATAGTAGGTGGCGGTAAATATCGATCGAATACGACTACGCATACAAGTAACACCAGTCTACGTTAAAGCGTTCTCCCGGGCTCTTCTTCGTTACCAACTTCTTGGAAATTCATTAATCCTCCTCATTGAACAGAACTACCAATCCAAATATCCACGAAATCTCTCGAATTTCCAAGAAGTTTAGAAACTAAACTTTTCCAACGCTAAATATTTTATCCTCCTTTTATTTTACCGTTTTTTATTTTTTTCTATCTTACAATTAGATTTCTTTTTTAAAACACTAAGGTGGCTTTTATTTAATATTTTTGATGCAGTGAGGAAGATAGAAGAGGAAATACATTATTCTCTTGCGTTTAAATGAAAAATGGAAAATGGTGCAGGCAAAGTATATATATATATATTTATAAAAAAAGAAAGAACGAAAAAAGAAAAAAAGTAAAAGAAGAGGAGGAAAAAATAATAAAGGGAGAGTAAAAATTAACTTTATCGTGTCAGGGTTGGGTGTTTTATAAATTATGAATAGTGACTCTTAACGTTGACCGAGCAAGAAATATAATTACTTTCTATATTAACGATGAATATTTCTTAGCCGATGGATAAAGCTTTTTTTCGTGCTTTTATAAAAGAGTGATTAACACTAAGATAACAAAAAAAAAATTAAAGACAACAGAATGTGAAAGAAAGCAAAAAAGATGATTAAAAGATAATTATAAATATAACTAATTACTTTCTATTGAAATGATTCGAATTAATTCAAAATATTTGATCTAATTCTACAATTTTTGATTATTTTTTTAGTTAGGAATTTATAATATATATATGCAATTGGCTATTGGTATTTTGCGCAGACGCAATTGAAAACGTAGTCCAGACACGGTGGTCACTTTTCAGGAATTGCTAAATCTGTTACGCAAATGTGGTTCCGGAAAACGAAGTGCGACGAAAGTATGAGAGCCTTGAGTTAACCGGAAATCGAATGTTAACAAATTATCGACAATCTTGTTGAAGAATTTCCAGACAAATTTCCATAATATTGACCATTTATTTTCTTCGACAACTGTGTCCAATATTTCGAAAATCTATTTAACCGACGAATCGAATTCCGATAGTAAAAGTGGAACAATAAATTTTTTTTATTGCAAAAACGTGAATCCCAGTTTTTTGTCGATTCATTTTTAATAGCAGATGGTGTGGTTCTTTTTTTTTTTTAAATAAAATTTCTAAAAAATTTGTATGGAAAAATATTCCTACAACGATTTACTAATTGTTAGATCGATGCATAAATAATTTCGTTCTTTTTTTTACAATAATTTGAAAGAGATTAAAACGGATTTTAATTCGCAATTAAATTAAAAATATAATTCGTGGAACCTACGTTGAAATGTGCATAAATTAATTGTCTTTTTTTTTATACTCAAAATCAAGGTATTTTAATTTCCAACAATTTTTGCTGAAACTTAACCAAATCCTACGAATTTTCTTTCTTTTTTTTATAATTAATTAGAAAACCTTAATTCCTTATCATAAATAAAACGAGTATCATTAATTACATTCATTTAAAACGATGAATTTCGTGACAACAAAAATATAATAAAATCAGGGTCAAATACAAAATATTCATTCCCAAAATTTATTGATTGCATAAACCATAACTGAAGATCAAATATTTGAACGTTTTATCATTCGGCATTCACCCCTATCGAAGTATTATATAATTCAAATTTAGTGTATGAAAGCTACTAGTATATTCGTTTACCGTATATATACGGTGTCCATAATGAAAGGATTAACGATATTTTGTTTATGTTGGGACTGATTTGAATACGAAATTGTGTTAAATGTTGTTCAGTTATCTTTTTACATTTTATCGATGACCAGTCATTATTTTGATTGGCTTGGTAAAGAAAGATATACGCTTAATTATGATTAGTTTTATTGTTAATGCAATATTCTCTTCTTATCTGTTTCAGCCATAAAAGAGAGAGAGAGAGAAGAATAGTTATTCTCGTAAACGAGCGATGGACGCGCCACGACGCGAAGCGAGGCTGAAGAGAAGATCGATACCAACGTTGAAACGAGAACTTTCCAACCCGTCAAAGTCGTTTTCAGTCTTTTCAATTTTACATGCCTTGACGCAACTGTCATAATCTTTTTAAATTTGCCTCTTTTATCTTTCTAATACCTTTTACAATCTAAAAATTCCTAAATTAAAAAAATCCAATATTTGTATAAGATAAATAAGAGAACAAATAACGTTTGCGAATAAAATTAGGCTAATTTTGATGAAAATATTATATATTCATCGATTATTGCATTCATTTGTTAAAATTATCTCTTAACTTGATTTCAATTATTTTGTTCATTATTATGAAAATATTTAATCCATATAATATTATACAATTCGTGTATGAGTTTATGACTAATACAATAATCTTATTAACTTAATAGGAATCGAATTGTACTAAAGGTTCATATGTTTGGTTTACTTTAGCATTTAATGAATCATTGAACCATGGTGAAAGATCAGGTTTGTACTAATTGTTAATATTAATGCTAAATATTTATTTGCAATTATAATTTTTCAACGATTGTCTTAAAATTAATTAGTTCTTTGATCAATTCGAAACAATTGATAAAATCCAAGCTGTAGGATTCGTTAAATATTTTTAAAATATTGTAGATAAGAGAAGAAAGAAAGAGTGGGAGAGAAGTACGGCGGTCGATAGGTCAGGTGCAAGAGTGAAGTATGTGAAAACGTAACGTGGTTGGTATATTCAAGACCTTTACTAGGGTTTACATATATATACACGTACGAGTAGTATACGTAACATAAAATCAAAGAGACGTTCTCGAATAGCGAGAAAACAACTATTCTTCAAACCAATGGAATTGGTTCCGACAACTTGCCATTAAATTTTCGCCAATTTAACCGATAACCTGATGAGTTGTATATTTGAAAAATCCAATAATTTCGGAGAAAACATAACCGATAATAATAGTCGACAAAAATATTTCCAAAAATATCACTTTAAGTCATGAAAATAACAAGATATTTCGTTTTTACCGATTTTGTTGTCATCGAAATTTCCACTGCAGTTGAAAAAATTGTTTTAAAATGCAATTGAAAGTAAAGTGGTTAATATGGAAAATAAAAAACAAATGAGAAAAATGAGAATAAAAATATGGAAGTACAGTTGAATTAAGTTTGAAGTATAGGAAAACATACCCTTCAGCTCCATGTCCGTGACCTGGTCAGAACGATAGGTGGCCGTTTCTCTGCGTTCCCCGACGAGAAAGTAAATATTGGTGTATTCATGGTGTTGGTCATCATTGTTGCCGGTGCCGTTCCTCGTCTCGAGGTCCATGGCCGAAGGACGGATGGAGGAAACGTCGTTGTAATCGACGTAGTCTTCGTCCTCGTCCTCGTCGTTGTCCTCAGGGTCAACGTCGGTCCAGCACCGGCTCTTTCCTCGTCGTCCTCCTCCTCCTCCTCTTCCTCCGTCTTCTTTCTCCTTCTTTTCCCTCTCCTCCTCCTCCAGATCTTAACAATCGTTAATTTTTCTGATAGGCTAAACCTTCTCCGGCAACAATAACAATGATCGAAAGGCGTCAGATAAAAACAAGCGTTGAATGTTGCTGCTGCTGTTGTTGCTGCTGCTGCAGTTGTTGTTGTTGTTTCTCCTGTTGGAGTTGCTGGAGATGGTAATAATAGTGCTGATAGTGATAGTGATGGTGATGATGGTGATGGTGGCGGTGGTAGTGGTGGTGGTAGTGGTGGTGGTGGTGATGCTAACACCCTCGACGAGCTCATCGTCGCATCGCCGGCCCGGCGGCAGCACCACGGCCACCACCGATCACTCTCGTCGACTTCTTCTCTAAATTAAATTCTAACAATTCTAAAAAAGATTCCAACCAATCCGGTATTGAAAATGACCTATCCTGATCAATTTCTTCTTCTTCTTTTGCTACTGCTTCTGTTGCTTCTTCTGCTACAACTGCTGTTGCTTCTTCTTCTTCTGTTTCCGTTGAATTAACTAGAATCCTGATGACATTAAACAACGACGATGACGACGACGACGACAACGACGACGACGACGATAACGACGACGACGACGATAACCAGCTAGGTGACATCAGTGACAACGGCAGCCTAGCTTCTACTACCAACTCGCATCTATCTCCTTCATGTTCCATTCTCTGTAACAAACCATTGGTTAACCTAACAGGTGTTCACGAATTAATTTATCGATCGAAATATTAGTTTCTTTTATTTTTAGTTATTAGAAACAGCACAGGGGGTAAGGAATTCATTGTATTTCTATTGACTGGTTTTAACCAGTTCACTGTGGAATTTAGTTTCAAAAGATCACCACAGGGTGCGAAATTAAAAACAAACAACGACGTGTGTACACGTCAAACGCAGGGCAAATGGTACTATTATACATTTTACGAAAAACGAGGAAGGATTACATTTTTATTCGTCAAAAAAACTAACGATTCGTTTCTGAATACGTTATTCTTACTAAAAGCTTGAAAATTGTCAAAAAATAATAAAATACATAAACAAGAAAAATTGAAGATAGCAAGAATAAACAAGAAAAATAAGAAAGTAGTTTACAAAATTTCAAACTATGTATGTGTGATATGTTTCAAAGCACAGTACTACGCAAAGTGCGACTTCACAGGTCGTACACCAAAACCTTGTTTCCTTGCGTTTTCCATTTTCGAGCAAACGGCACATCTTATAAATAAAAATAAATTAAATAAATATAAATAAAATACATAGTGGTCGTATTGGTAATATAAAGGGAACATACCACCAAATAATATTCTTATTACATTTTATTAAGATTTCGAGTTTTTATAGTGAATGGTAATTTTTTATTTTACACGACGAGTATACACGTCGAACGCACTTAACTGGTTAAAATTAACCTTTATCGATCGTAAATCACGTGGTAGTGACTTACAAATAATAGAAATATGTTATTAATGATTAAATAATTAATAATTTCATATATTTGTAGTATTCCTTCAAAAAAAAAATAAATAATTTCTAATAAATAATAAATTATTCTTATAATGCTGAACAATTTTATTTGTTTGTGTGTTGAACAATATTTACCGAAACCACTTATAACTAATAATGAGAATCGTCAATATAAAAATCTGATGACCGATAAGGGTTAAGAGATATTCTGATAACTTTAATGTGTAACAGCAGGTATGTGTACGAAAAATTATGAATCAATATAAAACTTTGTTCCTCCTAACTTTCTAACATTTCCAAAATTTCTTTTACCATTTCTAAAACTGGAAGAATCTCAAGATCCTTTTGATTGGTTTCATATTTGATCCAATAGATACATGATCATTAAAACAATTTAACGATTCTTGTTTATGTAAAAGAGAAAAAATATTTAAAAAATATTGTCTGAATCTATTTATATATACATATGTAATATTAACTAACGTATATATTAAATCCACGTTTTGTCGATGTAAAAACATAGTATGTTTTCGATATTCGAAATTGACGCGTAATTAGCTCGACTAAAACTTCACCGCAACTGCAAGCGTGCAGCCGCAAGCCGCAACGTTCTCGACTATGAGAGTCGATGGGTAGATGGATACGACGGAACCACCCAAACCTTTTCATTTCCTCTGATATACGAATGTTGTATATTATTATTATTATTATTATTATTATTATTATTATTATTATTATTAGTATTATTATTATTATTATTATTATTATTATTATTATTATTATTATTATTATTATTATTATTATTATTATTATTATTAGTATTATTATTATTATTATTACATAAATATTAAATAATATATGAAATATTATTTATCAACCGTTACGATATTTGTCGATATATTTTCTCTTAAGTTTATTATGTATATTTTCTTGATTTTATCGAAGACACCATTAACGATATTAAAAGAAGAACTTTGAAGAGACATCATTTTCGTTATATCCTCGTCGATAAGTTCCTGACTCTGAAAGAAAAAAAATCTCTCCTGGGAGATAACGAAAAGAGAAATATAGAAAGAAAGAGAGAGAGAGAGAGAGAGAGAGAGAGAGAGAGTGGATCAAAAGATAATCTGAAAAAAGTCTACTGTCTACAACATCCTTTCACACTCCATATCTCCAACAACTTCCATTAAAGATCTTCCCTTTCATAAATTTGAAAACGTTCCTGTCTTACATCCAAAACTTTAAAAACAACCTAAGAAACTTGCCATTCAAGCAAATTGAAAAAAGAAAAAAATTATAAAACACGAATAATCTTAAAGCTTCTTATAAACATTTAAACATTTTTTTAAACGTACGAATCAAATCCGGAATTTTATGATACATGTTTATTAAAAAACTTTGTCATAGTTGGTAGCAAGCAATATACCTAAACGTAGATTGGTTTTTATGACATTTAAGTGTTGTTTCATATATCTGAATATGTTTTATCTTTTTGAAAGAGTTTGTGAATTTTTATTATTCTGTTAGAATTTTTCTAATATAATTGAAACATTTGATACGAAAAATAATAAAGGTTACAAACGATTGGTTTTAAAACACATCTCGCAATTTTATTTTTTTTTCTTAATTTACTACAATTAATTGGAATTCTTATCGAGACAGAAACTTTATTTGTTATTTCAATTTTTTTTATAGAGACGTTTTCATTTCATTTTTTTTTTTCTTCAAACGATAGATAGGATGTATACCGATCTATCTCGGGATGATACTTTGGTATCAATCGAGAAGACGTTGTATTTAATTAGCCTTCGACCGGATGACCTTACCTCGCTCCGCGTATCATCTGATAATGAACAATCAAGTCGATGCAAGTAACTCGATTAATGCGATTCGCTGAGCCAACAGAAAACCAATCTCTCTCTCTCTCTCTCTCTCTCTCTCTCTTTCTCTCTCTATTTCTCCCTTTACCCTCCGATATTTTTAACTCATCGATATAGAAACATCCCTTTTTATGAATTAATGTCCTGTTTCTTCTTTCTTTCTTTTTTCGAAATATCCTTCTTCGGAAAAAAATGATATTTTACGTATAATAATACAATATAATTTTCTAATTTTACAAATGTTATAAAAATATATAATAAAATTAAATTCGAATTATAACATATTCTCGAAATAATTTATAATGTGAAATATATATTATAATTTGAATGGTAAGATATTTATGAAATAATTCCTAATAAAATACATTTTTAAAATGATATAATAAATCAATGAAATAAAAAATGAATTATTCCAATTACCAAAAATAATCTCAGATAAAATATATAAATAACGTTATAGTAAATACATATATTGAAAACTGTGATAATGGTGATTAATGGAAACTAATCAATCGGAACTAATCATACGGAATATTACTTCTATCATTTTGTTTCTGTTCCGGTGATCATCGTAATTATACCCCTTACAATTATTAAAATAATTATTACATACGTATATAAATTTATTTTTTTTTGGCTCATCGATCGATTATTGTGAAATAAAAATTTATAAAAAAATATGCAAACCGTATACAAAATAATATATCAGGAATATGCGAAACATTTGAAGCATACAATATATTCAATTGCATAAAAATCCGCAGAGATTATATTATTATATTATTTTTTCGAAAAGTCATATAAATAAAAATAAATGGATAAAATTCACAATCGACTTTTATAAAGTTTAACGTTGGATTTCGAAAAGAATGGTACGTTTAACTTATACTCTATACTTTTAGATTTGAATATGCATTTCTTTCAATTAATTAACAATCATTTAAAGTATATTGAAAACTGTAATGTACTCAATAAATATCTATGATTTTTTAAACTAAAATACATTTGTTTTACTGTTATTGACCAGTGATGATTTCGAGTTAATGATATTCATCTATTAAAATATCAAATCGAAATTGTTTAATGTTGTATCTTATGAATGTAAATGAAAAGATAAATAATACAAAATAAATGTTTTAAAGAAAAAATATGAGGATTGAAAAAGGAAAAGGAAGAAAAGGTTAAACTAATTGAAAGTAAGTTATTGAATGTTTTGTTTTGATATTCCACACTTTTCAAATGGTGTTTATATATTTCAATGTTTTCACTTTTATTCTATTAAAAATTTCATCGTTGAACTTGTAAACACATTGACCTTCGTGTTCATTCAGCAGGTATTCGATATCCGTCGAGTATGTGCTGCGTAATTGTTTTCAAATTCATAGTTAGTCTTCTTCGAACGTCGGAGGATGTAAGAACGATATTAGAAAAATATTCAATTTATTTTCGCGCATAAGTGTATATATGTGTGTTTTCTTGTTATGCAATTGATATGCATATACGATCGAGTGTGTGTGTACTGTTGTATACTGAGATTTATGCATATATGTATGTGTGCATCATATATAAAACCAAGTACATCTAACGCGATTAATTATTGCAATATTATTAATTAAAGCATCGTTAAAAAACGCGATAAGTCACGTGATATTAAAATAAAGTTCGATAATTCCATAAGTGCGGTGCCAATTTTACTTTCGTGAATATTTTTTAATACGATAGTGCTGTGAACAATTCTTATCAAACATTTTTTACCAAAAAACCTATAATTTATTGGATAATGCAGTTATACAACAATCTGATGCAAGAATGAAAAAATGACTGACCGGATAACCAAAAACTATCAAAGGACAAAGTCATCTGACTTCTACAAGGGTGAGAATTTGTTTGATTTATTATATGAAATTATTGATATATTTAAAATATAATATAGAAACTTAAAAACTGTTGAAACGGACATTTCATTGATCCTAATGAATACTATTAATCATTATAAGTCGAGATATCTTTCCGATTGGACAGTAAGCTTCATATTAATTAGACTTATAAGATACTAATTATATATATAATTTTTATATAAAAATAACTATTGGGTGTGTTAAAATATCGTATATTTCTTCAAATGAATCGCAATTGGCAATTTTTACGAGTTCCAACCGTCGTTTTTTCTTTCTTATTTTATTTATTTATTTTTTTGTTCTGAATAACTGAAACAATCAATGATAAGTAGAGCAAGATGTAGATGAATCAATCCAAGTATCTTCCAGTCTGTAGGAATATTTTTATTGTATTATATATTTTATTTTATTTCTATTTTGAAATAATAA